AATTTGGCAAGATCTTGTCTCTGCAATAAATAAAAAACTAGCCGGGCGTGGTAGCGCGTGCCTAAAGTTCCAGCTACTTGGAAGGCTGAGGCGGAAGGATCGCTGAAGCCAAGCTAGTGGAGGCTGTGGTGGCTGGGAGCGTGCCACTGTACTCCACTCTGGGCAACAGAGTGAGACTCCAACTAAAAAAAAAAAAAAAAAAAAAAAGAAACAGTTTGCTTAATTATCACTAAAAAAATATACATAAGCACTCAATTAACAGCAGGTTGGGGTGCCCTTTCTCTTAGGCATCCATGATGCTTTCTTGAATGCATCTTTTTCTTTCTGATAAATTCTGCCTTAAACTATGCTTTGGACTTGCTCTAAAATTTTTTCTGTGGCAAAGTGAAAGAACCCGTGGGGTAACTATACCACATGCCACCCAGCATCATCCAGACCAACAGCATCAACATCACTTGAGAACTGGTTAAAAATGCAAATTTTGGGGCCTTATCCCAGACTTACTGAAGCAGACACTCTGGAGATGGAACTCAAGAGTCTGTTTTAACTAGATCTCCAAATGATGCTGATACATGCTAAGTTTTGAAAAACTGCTCTAGGTAGTATGCTGAGGATTTGGGGTGCATATCTAAATGACTCTACTTGCTTTCAATAATCTCAGTATAATAGAAGGAGTTGTGTTGCTGAACCAGTAAACACCATTAAATATGTGGTTAGTACAAAAACAGAATGGTCGTAGAGGATGTAAAGGGGCTTTCCTAGAAAAGGTCATGTGAGCTGAGTTTCACAGTGCTGATGAAAGATGCCAAACTCTGTAAAATATTTTAAGATGGTCTATTCATGTAAGTCAAATGTGAATGACCTAGACCTAGTCAAATGTGAATGATCTGGTCCCAGGAGGTCCTGAGAATGTGTGCCCACTGAGGTTGAATTGTAGCTTGCTTATATACAAGGGGGTAATCCCCCTAAAATGGGAATTATCTTTTGGAGAGTGGGTCCCTTGAAGTACAGACTTCCCCCGCTAGGTAAGTATTCTAGGAACTGATCAGCATCAGTGTACTAGCTACCATTGTTATGAGAGGCTACCTTTGGCTTCAGTGAAATTTTTTTGGAGAGTTTTTTAACGCACTTGCCCATTTTATGATGGGTGATTTATGAGTGCACCTGTTCACATTGCCCTGAGTGTTCAGCAGTTTTTGACCACAAACAGCATGATCCCCATGCAATTTGTAATCATTTCACCCTTTCATCCTTCTGTGTTTTGGTGTCATAACAGAAGAATTTATCATGATTAAACCTAAATCCACATACTTAATTTAAACAGTTAAAGCTTTTATAAAGCTTAAGCATGGGTGCAGTTACCAAGAATAATAATAAATAAGCCCAATATTATCAGTAAGGGAACAAAGGACGTGGAAAATGCACAAATGGAATAATTAATGAAAGCAAATTTCATGGAGATTGTTAAAACTGCTCCAAAACAATAGTAACAAAAACATACACACTAGAGCAGTGCTTCTCACATTTTGGTATGTATACTAATCACCAATCTTACCCCAAGTGACTTTTTTTGTTTTTCTGGATGAAAAAAGTCCTCAAAGGGAAATGTTTTGTCAGTATGGAAGTGGTGAAACAAAAAACAGCAGAAGTACTAAAAGACATCAAAGCTGATGAGTTCAAAAACTATTGAGAGTGGAAAAAGCATTTGATAGGTGCATCACATCAAACAGAGAGTACTTTGAAGGTGACTGAAGATTAAACATGAAAGAATACACAAATTTTTATAGATAGATTCCATTTTGGGGGGTCCCCCTCATACAATTTAGGAGGACAGAAGGTACAAGGAACTATAAATCAATACATATGAAATTTACACTGGTTCTGTCTAGGAATGTGGGACATTTTCAGGGGTGGAGGACACAGGCTATAAGTGGATTCAAAGAATTTCTGACTGACCGCTAGAGTTATCTAAGGAATTTTGAAAGAAGTCAAGAAAATGGGCAGTTTGAGGAACAATAAGGGAGTTGAGTTTCTTAATATGTAGATGAGGCTTTATGGGTGATGGCAGTCTTCAGAGAGAGCAGGTGTCTTAAAAGGAGCTAGGAGTTCCCAAAAGATCACTTTACAGGGTCATAAAATACTTTGATTTTCCTTCTTCCTCTGTTACTTGATGTTATGCCAGAGCCAGGTTGGAAAGTAAATCACATTAAATAGTTAATTAAAAACCTGTCTCTCCAGGCTCCTTAGGAATTTGGCAAGGTAAAGAAGCAAGGACACAGGTTAGTCATCTGAAGACAGTGACATGCACAATATAATGCAAAGCTAATGCAGGAGAAAGCTTGGTATCTTTGGAAAACTACAAGTAATCACCTCAATATAGCTGACCGGAAGTTTGAGGACTTCTGTCCTCATCCTTCTTACCATGGTGAATAGAACACACCATCAAAACTTTAAAAAAAATTAGCGGCCCGGCTCGGTAGCTCAGCCTACAGGGAGGATTGCTTGAGTCCAGGAGTTTGAGACTAGACTGGGCATCATAGCAATCCAGCACTTTGGGAGGCCGACGTGAGTAGATTGCCTGAGCCCGCAGGTTCAAGACCAACCCAGACAACTTGGTGAGACCCTGTCCCTATGATAAATAAAAAAATTAGCCGGGTGTGGTAGCACGTGCCCGTAGTTTCGGCTACTTGGAAGGCTGAGGTAGAAGGATCACGAGAGCGCAGCAGGTCGACGCTGGGTGGCCATGAGTGTACCACTGCACTTCAGCCTGGACAACAGAGTGAGACTCCACTACAGAAAAAAATTAGCTAGGTCATGAAGAATTTCACTGAGGAGGAAAAATCTGGGCTTTTTAAGTGTTAGGGAGAATTTAGGGAATTTATGCTAATTAAGCATTAGAAACTGGAGCTCTGCATATAAGATAGAATGAAATATATAGTTCTGTACACAGTTGTTTAAAATAAAATAAATACCCCATTGTTCCTTAATCAGGAAAATGCCTTCAGTTAGGTCCAGTGGGGAGGGTGAATAAAACACAACATATCCTTTGCACTCTCTCTAGGTGATGGCAACATTAGACCTACTGAACCAGCCTTTAGGGTGACTCTAAAGATACCTATGAGTAGCTGTGAAGACAAAAGAAAACTAAGAATGTGGAAGCCGAGTCAAGGAAGTTTCAAGAAGGGGAGAATGGTCAACAGTGTAAAATACTGCAGACAAACACAGCAAGAGAAGAGCAGAAAAGTGTTCACAGACTTTGACCACAAGTGCTGGTGATCTCAGCAGTTTCAGAGGATGAAGGACAAAGAAAGTGGAAGAATGACTATAAGTGTGGAAATGGGAACTGGAAGTATTCGGTACTCTCTCAAAGAAACTTTGTCTCTGCCGGGTGTGGTGTCTCACACCTGTAATCCCAGCACTCTGGAATGCCAAGGTGGGAGGATTGCTTGAGTCCAGGAGTTTGAGACTAGTCTGGGCATCACAGGAAGACCTCATCTCTACAAAAAATTCAAAGTGGTGGTACCTGCCTGTAGTCTCGGCTACATGGGAGGCTGAGGACCAACGATCTCCTGAGCCGAGGAGGTCGAGGCTACAGTAAGCCACGACTGTGGTACTGCAACCAGCCTAGGGGATAGTGTGAGTCCCGACTCACAAATAAAAAATGAAACTTCTTCTCTTTGGCAATGATTTACATTAAGGGCTGCCAGTCCTAATCTAGTGTTTCTCCGCGACAACCGAGACTTCTATTTTAAGGTCAGAAATGGTATTCAGTTTTGAGGTAAAAGGAACATTAGAAATCACTGATCAACCTGCTCATTGTACAAATGAGGAGAGAAGCCCTGAGAAATGAGGTGACAATTGCTTTCATTGAGTTTATGTGTCATTTGAAATCCATAAATTCTACAGAAGATATAAAAATGCTTGTTCGATTTTTTTTTTTTTTAGTTTGGGTCTCATTTTGTCGCCTAGTGCAGTGGCAACGTAACAGCTCATTGTAGCCTCAACCTCTTGAACTCAGGTGATCCTCCCACCCTCAGCCTCCCAAGCACCCAGGACTACAGGTCCGTGCCACCACTCCTGGCTACTTTTTTAATTTTGTGCACAGAAGAGGTCTCACTATATTGCCCAGCCTGGTGTCAAACTACTGAGCTCAAGCAAACCTCTCCTCTCACCTCGGCCTCCCAAAGTGCTGGGATGACAGGCGTGAGCCACTGCACCCTGCCCAACATTCCTATTTTACAGACGGGAAGAGGGGGACTTTCAGGGGTTAACATGCTCTAGAGTCAATAATTTGACTCCAAACCCTTTTAACACTGTGGCAAACCCTTTTAACACTGTGGCAATGCCTTGTTTGTTTGTTTAATGATCCGGTTGGGCCACTATAGTACAGAAGAAATGAAAGCGGGGGGATTTAGGTGAGACTTTATTTCCCCGGGGCGAAGTGAGCTGCGCTTTTCCACACCATCTGTCCATCACATTACCCCTAAGGCATCCTACACACCTCCCAACCCTCCACCCACCCACGCCAGTTTTAAGCAAGGATACTGAGACTGAAACACACGCAGCGCCTGAGGTACTCCTCCCAGCCGTTTATTGTGGTCTTCCGCCTCCTGACACGCCGGCAAACCCTGTTAATTAGAGAGCGGAGGTAAAGATTCGGCTTTCGGGTAGTTTGGCTCTCCGGCTTTCCGTAAGAACCCCGGCTCCGCCCCCGCCCCCGCCCCTGGCTTCGGCCCCGCCCCCTAGCAACGCACGGGCTTGTGTTCACAACTGGCTGGCGAGCGCCGAGGTTCCCAGGTGAAGACAGCGGCGCTGAGCGGACGGCGTCGCGGTGACCCAGGCACTGCCGGACCCTCGGAGCCTTTCGCGACCCTTAGCGGCTCTCAGGCGGCCTTTCCTCCTTCGCGGCGGAGCCTCTGCGGCTGCGGGCACACGGTAGGACAGGAGGATCCCACCTCCCCATCCCACCGCCTCCAGCCATGCCATTCCGGGAGGCTGCCGCGAAGGCCGAGACCCAAGAACCTGGCTGCACGAGCAATTCTAAGAGTCCCCGCCAGATCCCGGTGGTTGAGATGGTGACGGACGACGAGGAGGCGCCGGTATGAGCAGGTGTCAGTGCTTTGGGAGGTGGGGGAGGGGTGGGGATGAGGCCTGGGGGCGGCGACCTGGTCTGGGGCGGGCAAGGGTGGAAACCGGGACCCGAGTGAGGATGGGGAAACCCGCGGGACGGAGGCTCCAAACGCAGAATTGATCCCCCTCCCCCGCAGCCCCTGGAGATCTGCCCCGCCTGCGAGGGGGCCTGACTGTCGTCAGCCAGCCTGTCAGGGGACTCGTGCCCTATGGTCCTCCTGGAGCGTTCCGCTAAACTCTTAAGAAAGGCGGTGCTTTGCCCGGTTGGAAAAGTGTGAACTGGGAGGGAAGGGACCATTTCTAGGAAAATTCGATTCGGTGACCTGATCACTTTCTTTGTACTGGGCTTTTATATGTAGATCCCGGTTATCGAGTGTTGTTCTTGTTACAGGCGTAAATTCTACCATACTTAAATGTGCTGCTACTAAAGCCTGCTACTAAAGCCTGAGATGTGGGAAATACTGTTAAAATTATAAATTAAGCATCTTTCTAAAAATATGAAATTGGAAACTCGTTGTTATAGGTTTGGTTGGAGAAAACAATTGATTTGTTTTTATTGTGCTTGTATTGCATTTGGTTTGGGGTTTGCTTTTGTTAAGAATACAAAATTATTTCAAGTTGGTCTTGGGACATTTCACTTGAGACCCTTGTTTGGATCTTTATTCGTGGCAGGGTGTTTAGAAACCCCAAGTCGTGTGTTTCGTATTAGGGCTCCATTGCTCCTTCAGAGAGCCATGGTTGTGTCTCAAAAGACGTGAATTCTGATCGGGTACGGTGGCTCACATCTATAATCCCAGCACTGTGGGAGGCCGAGGTGAGAGGATTGTCTGAGCCCACGGGTTCGAGACCAGTCTGGGCAACTTGGCGAGACCTCATCTCTACAATAAATAAAAAATTAGCCGGGTGTTGGTAGCGCGTGCCTGTAGTTCGAGCTACTTGAAAGCCTGAGGCTGAAGAATCACCTGAGCCTGGGCGCCAGAGTGAGATTCCAACTCAAAAAAAAGAACAAAACACGTGAATTCTATGGAGGAACTCTGCCCCGCCTCACTAACGGAGTGGGGCCAGCGTGGGAATTCCTGTTGAGGCTCCACAAGTCTCGGGCTACGTCAGGAGCTTTGTCCTGCGTTCGTCCTGGAACCTTGGAGGGTTCCTTGGGAACAGCCAGTTAACTAGGGACCGCGTCTACTGGGGGAATTAGGTTTGAGTTCTCTGAGGGTGAGACGTTTACACAGTAATCTGCGAAGAAACAGCACTTGGCATGAGGAGAAGCAAGTGTTAAGGGAAATCTACCTACTTGGTTTTGTGGAAATATTCTAATCCAGGGGAGGAGAAGAATTTTGAGAAACAATAGCTCTCCATTCCCGAGGCTACAAGATCAACCCAACCACGCACAAAACTGAGAAGTAGGTGAATTTGGTAACTGATGGATGTAAGAAAAATATGGCAATGTTGCATGAGACAGGCAAGCAAGGGTTAAAACGAAAAAAGGAGAAATTATTTTATTTTATTTTATTTTATTATTTTTTGAGTTGGAGTGCAGTGGCATTCTCCCGGCCACCACAGCCTCGACCTGCTGAGCTCCGGCGATACTTCCGCCTCAGCCTTCCAGGTAGCCAGAACTACAGGCGCGTGCTATCACGCCCGACTAATTTTTGATTTATTGTAGAGAGGAGGTCTCGCCAAGTTGTCCAGGTGGGTCTCAATCCCGCGGGCCCTGGCAATCCACTTGCCTCAGCCTTCCAAAGTGCTGGGATTACAGGCTGAGGAGAAATGATTTTAACAAACCATTGCCAAAATAGTCCACTACATACGAAGTAAAACAAGCATACCTGTGTGTTCTCCCTTCTCTTTTCTTCCTCTTCTTTTTTTTTTCAAAGCAGGATTTATTGAGAGCAGAAAAGCTCCCACAGTGGGAGGGGCCTCGAAGGGGTTACCCTCTTTTTCTTTTATTACTACTCCTCTTTCCAGAGCCTAGGATTCTCTTCCAGAAAGTTATTAACCAATTAGCATTAATTCATGTTCTTGCCTTGTTAAAAAGGAGTATTAACATTTTTGGAGTATTGGGGAAATAGTTTCTTCAGAAAGAAATGAAATAGTATGGGAACTTTTTAGAGCTAAGCTAAGTCTTAGTGATCACTAAACCTTTTTGGTTTTGTTTGCTTGTTTGTGATTGCTTTTACAAATGAGGATTCTAAGGCCATGAGAATCATCCACTTTCTTCACTCATAGAGTGGGGTCCAGAGTTCCCAGAATGATAAAATGATAACCTTTTAGACCTCTGGAATGCTTAATGTTTCCAATTCTTTCAAACCATTCGGCATTTGCATGCTTCTCCTCTGACTGTGCTTCAGAGACTATATGCTGGTGGCTAAAAGGGAGTGTCAAGTCTACTTCAGTTCATTAAGACAACTCTATCACTTACCAGCTATGTGACCAAAGGCAAGTATCTTAACCTTTTGGTCAAATGGAGATAATAGTAGCCAGGTCCATTGTAAAGAATACATGAAGCAGGGCTCAGTGGCTCAGCCTGTAATCCCAGCACTTCGGGAGGCCAAGGCAAGTGGATTGCCTGAGCCCGTGGGTTCGAGACCAGCCCAGGCAACTTGGCAAGACCTCATCTCTACAATAAATAAAAAAAAAATTAGCTGGGCATGCATGCCTATAGTTCCAGCTACTTGAAAGGCTGAGGCAGAAGGATTGCCGGAGCCCAGTGGTCGACGCTGGGTGGCTGTGAGCATGCCACTGCACTGCAGCCTGGGTGACAGAGTGAGACTACAACTCAAAAAAAAAAAAGGATACATGAAATAATACATATAAGCAATTTACACAGTGCTGTATATATTAAAAATATGCAGTTATCAACATCAGTATCGTTGTTATCACTATCATCATCCTTTATTCAGGGAGCTGCAGCTCCTAAATATTATTTGAACCTTATAGCTAGAGATTCTCTGGAATTCTTATCATTTCCATTGGTTTCTAGGATGTGAAAGTAAGACTAGATCCCTCTGAAATACAACTTGCTATAATTTCTGTCTGCTGTCTTTATCCCTCGACAGATGTTTCTGAGAAGCAGCTTAGATTTCCTAATATGGAATGCCACTTTTACTACCTGTGCTTTTGACATCTGTTTTGTATCATTTTCTTTATTATAAACCATTTGAAGCATTTCAGTTATGCCAAACTGAGTTTATGTAATTGAAGAAATAGCTTTGGATATTTATCTGTACAAGGTATTTAACCTTTACTAGGTGCATTAATAGGGAAAATCAAGTAGATAGTTCTCAGATTGTTTTTCTAGCATTAATCCTAGTATTTATGTAGCTCTGACTTTCTTTAGGAAGGTAAGGGGTAATATACATTAAAGATAAAACACTTCACCGCTGGAGAGTGATGAGAATGGCAGTGAAATTCACCTTCATCATATGGTGAAATCACAAAATCCCTAACTGGTGACACCTTATTTTCGATTTATTTTAATATTCCTTTATTCTAAAGAATTCCAGGATCCTTTAAAGCAGTGCTTCTCAAACTTTTAATGTGTATATAGAGCACATGAGAATCTCACTCAAATACAGATTCTGATTCGTAGGTCTGGGGTAGAACCCAGGACCTGCTTATCTGACAGGTTTCCAGGGGATGTTTGTGCTGGTAGTTGGAGGACCCCATTTCCCACTTTAAGTAGCAATGCTTAGTAGTGCATTATAGCTGCAGGATGGTGTGAACAGTGCTATAGAGTTTCACAATAATTAATTCCTGGAAAGCAGTAGGAGATTGTTTAATCATCTGAATCTACATGAAACTATCAACAGCAACAACAAAATTTCAAACCTTCCCCACCAGGTCAGATGAAACAATTGGCACCAGATGGGACCTTAAAAGAAGTACTTGCTCTCCTTTCCTGTCAGCACAGTGCCTCAGTAGATCCTGGATTACTGTCACGTCCTTCTACGTAGCCCTTTGTAGGAATATCTTACACTCTCCCCAGTCTGTTTTCCTTAAACACCACTGAATCATCCTCCTCCTTCCGCCTGAGTCCCACTCTCTTCCTTTCAGAATTCCTCAGTAGGTTCTATTGTTTATCTAATACCTTATCAAATATAATTACATTGACTAAATTACTTAACCTCTCTAGGTCTGTTCCCTTTTCTATAAAACCAACCTGTACTTGATGGGTGTTCCCAAAACCGTCACAGTCATTTGAGGAACTTTTTAAAGAAACCACTCATAGCTGGGCCTTACCACAGATGTACTCAGTTATAATCCCCAGTGTGGAACCAGGGACACTTTGAGCCCTGGAGTTTGAGGCCAACATGGGCAACACAGTGAGACCCTCATCTCTTAAAAAAAAAAAAATCTCTATAGTCTTAGGAGTTAGGAGAGAACTAAGCACCCTCAAGTGACTTGCCTCAGATCTACTGAATTAGATAATATCGAAGGTCTCTCTGCCCAGCCCAAAATGCCTCCATTCCATTTCTATGTCTTATACTCAAGGTTTTCCAATACACGATCTATACTGTATCCTCGGCTTAGTGCCACCTCTGTGAGGACAGAAACCTCATCTTTTTTTTTTTCCTGTAATATTCCCTGATATAGCACCCAGTCTAATACCCAGTGCACAAGAGAAGTTATTAAATATTTATTAAAGGAATGCCCTCCCTTCTTTTCTGAATTTTATGAAATCTTACTTGAACTCAGACCTTGCCTCTCCTCAAGAAGTACTCCTTCAACAGGAAGTACTTCTGATTTATTTTCACTCTCATAGATCTTCTCATGAATGGGTATGGTCCTAGGTCCAATTCTTCATCTAATTATCACTTGTTTAATGTTGGTTATTGTTTCATTTGTATCAGGTTTGTTTCTCCCACTGGAGTATGAGTTCCTTAAAAGCAGAAAATATCTGAATAGTTTTGTGTCCTTCCCAGAATTTCTCTACTCTTAGCTCAGAGCAGAAATCTTCCTTCCTTTC